TGCACACTACACTGGACACAACAACAGTATGGTGCACACTACACTGGACACAACAACAGTTAGACAGTATGGTGCACACTACACTGGACACAACAGCAGTAAGACAGTATGGTGCACACTACACTAGACACAACAACAGTAAGACAGTATGGTGCACACTACACTGGACACAACAACAGTATGACAGTATGGTGCACACTACACTGGACACAACAACAGTATGGTGCACACTACACTGGACACAACAACAGTAAGACAGTATGGTGCACACTACACTGGACACAACAACAGTATGACAGTATGGTGCACACTACACTGGACACAACAACAGTATGGTGCAAACTACACTGGACACAACAACAGTAAGACAGTATGGTGCACACTACACTGGACACAACAACAGTATGACAGTATGGTGCACACTACACTGACACAACAACAGTATGACAGTATGGTGCACACTACACTGGACACAACAACAGTATGACAGTATGGTGCACACTACACTGGACACAACAACAGTAAGACAGTATGGTGCACACTACACTAGACACAACAACAGTATGGTGCACACTACACTGGACACAACAACAGTATGACAGTATGGTGCACACTACACTGGACACAACAACAGTAAGACAGTATGGTGCACACTACACTGACACAACAACAGTATGGTGCACACTACACTGGACACAACAACAGTATGGTGCACACTACACTGGACACAACAACAGTAAGACAGTATGGTGCACACTACACTGGACACAACAACAGTATGGTGCACACTACACTGGACACAACAACAGTATGGTGCACACTACACTGGACACAACAACAGTATGACAGTATGGTGCACACTACACTGGACACAACAACAGTATGGTGCACACTACACTGGACACAACAACAGTAAGACAGTATGGTGCACACTACACTGGACACAACAACAGTATGGTGCACACTACACTGGACACAACAACAGTAAGACAGTATGGTGCACACTACACTGGACACAACAACAGTATGACAGTATGGTGCACACTACACTGGACACAACAGCAGTAAGACAGTATGGTGCACACTACACTAGACACAACAACAGTAAGACAGTATGGTGCACACTACACTGGACACAACAACAGTATGGTGCACACTACACTGGACACAACAACAGTAAGACAGTATGGTGCACACTACACTGGACACAACAACAGTAAAACAGTATGGTGCACACTACACTGGACACAACAACAGTAAGACAGTATGGTGCACACTACACTGGACACAACAACAGTATGGTGCACACTACACTGGACACAACAACAGTAAGACAGTATGGTGCACACTACACTGGACACAACAACAGTATGACAGTATGGTGCACACTACACTGGACACAACACTAGTATGGTGCACACTACACTGGACACAACAACAGTAAGATAGTATGGTGCACACTACACTGGACACAACAACAGTATGGTGCACACTACACTGGACACAACAACAGTAAGACAGTATGGTGCACACTACACTGGACACAACAACAGTAAGACAGTATGGTGCACACTACACTGGACACAACAACAGTAAGACAGTATGGTGCACACTACACTGGACACAACAACAGTAAGACAGTATGGTGCACACTACACTGGACACAACAACAGTATGACAGTATGGTGCACACTACACTGGACACAACAGCAGTATGGTGCACACTACACTAGACACAACAACAGTAAGACAGTATGGTGCACACTACACTGGACACAACAACAGTATGGTGCACACTACACTGGACACAACAACAGTATGGTGCACACTACACTGGACACAACAACAGTAAGACAGTATGGTGCACACTACACTGGACACAACAACAGTATGGTGCACACTACACTAGACACAACAACAGTAAGACAGTATGGTGCACACTACACTGGACACAACAACAGTATGGTGCACACTACACTGGACACAACAACAGTAAGACAGTATGGTGCACACTACACTGGACACAACAACAGTATGACAGTATGGTGCACACTACACTGACACAACAACAGTATGACAGTATGGTGCACACTACACTGGACACAACAACAGTATGACAGTATGGTGCACACTACACTGGACACAACAACAGTAAGACAGTATGGTGCACACTACACTGGACACAACAACAGTATGACAGTATGGTGCACACTACACTGACACAACAACAGTATGACAGTATGGTGCACACTACACTAGACACAACAACAGTAAGACAGTATGGTGCACACTACACTGGACACAACAACAGTAAGACAGTATGGTGCACACTACACTGGACACAACAACAGTATGACAGTATGGTGCACACTACACTGGACACAACAACAGTAAGACAGTATGGTGCACACTACACTGGACACAACAACAGTAAGACAGTATGGTGCACACTACACTGACACAACAACAGTATGGTGCACACTACACTGGACACAACAACAGTATGGTGCACACTACACTGGACACAACAACAGTATGACAGTATGGTGCACACTACACTGGACACAACAACAGTAAGACAGTATGGTGCACACTACACTGGACACAACAACAGTATGACAGTATGGTGCACACTACACTGGACACAACAGCAGTAAGACAGTATGGTGCACACTACACTGGACACAACAACAGTATGACAGTATGGTGCACACTACACTGGACACAACAACAGTAAGACAGTATGGTGCACACTACACTGGACACAACAACAGTAAGACAGTATGGTGCACACTACACTGACACAACAACAGTATGGTGCACACTACACTGGACACAACAACAGTATGGTGCACACTACACTGGACACAACAACAGTATGACAGTATGGTGCACACTACACTGGACACAACAGCAGTAAGACAGTATGGTGCACACTACACTAGACACAACAACAGTAAGACAGTATGGTGCACACTACACTGGACACAACAACAGTATGGTGCACACTACACTGGACACAACAACAGTATGACAGTATGGTGCACACTACACTGGACACAACAACAGTATGGTGCACACTACACTGGACACAACAACAGTATGACAGTATGGTGCACACTACACTGGACACAACAACAGTAAGACAGTATGGTGCACACTACACTGGACACAACAACAGTATGACAGTATGGTGCACACTACAGTGGACACAACAGCAGTATGGTGCACACTACACTAGACACAACAACAGTATGGTGCACACTACACTGGACACAACAACAGTAAGACAGTATGGTGCACACTACACTAGACACAACAACAGTAAGACAGTATGGTGCACACTACACTGACACAACAACAGTATGGTGCACACTACACTGGACACAACAACAGTATGGTGCACACTACACTGGACACAACAACAGTAAGACATTATGGTGCACACTACACTGGACACAACAACAGTAAGACAGTATGGTGCACACTACACTGGACACAACAACAGTAATACAGTATGGTGCACACTACACTAGACACAACAACAGTAAGACAGTATGGTGCACACTACACTGGACACAACAACAGTATGGTGCACACTACACTGGACACAACAACAGTATGGTGCACACTACACTGGACACAACAACAGTAAGACAGTATGGTGCACACTACACTGGACACAACAACAGTAACATAGTATGGTGCACACTACACTGGACACAACAACAGTATGGTGCACACTACACTGGACACAACAGCAGTAAGACAGTATGGTGCACACTACACTGGACACAACAACAGTAATACAGTATGGTGCACACTACACTGGACACAACAACAGAAGACAGTATGGTGCACACTACACTGACACAACAGCAGTAAGACAGTATGGTGCACACTACACTGGACACAACAACAGAAGACAGTATGGTGCACACTACACTGGACACAACAGCAGTAAGACAGTATGGTGCACACTACACTGGACACAACAACAGTAATACAGTATGGTGCACACTACACTGGACACAACAACAGTAAGACAGTATGGTGCACACTACACTGGACACAACAACAGTATGACAGTATGGTGCACACTACACTGGACACAACAACAGTATGGTGCACACTACACTGGACACAACAACAGTATGGTGCACACTACACTGGACACAACAACAGTATGGTGCACACTACACTGGACACAACAACAGTATGGTGCACACTACACTGGACACAACAACAGTAAGACAGTATGGTGCACACTACACTGGACACAACAACAGTATGACAGTATGGTGCACACTACACTGGACACAACAACAGTATGGTGCACACTACACTGGACACAACAACAGTAATACAGTATGGTGCACACTACACTGGACACAACAGCAGTAAGACAGTATGGTGCACACTACACTGGACACAACAACAGTAATACAGTATAGTGCACACTACACTGGACACAACAACAGTAAGACAGTATGGTGCACACTACACTGGACACAACAGCAGTAAGACAGTATGGTGCACACTACACTGGACACAACAACAGTAATACAGTATGGTGCACACTACACTGGACACAAGAGCAGTAAGACAGTATGGTGCACACTACACTGACACAACAGCAGTAAGACAGTATGGTGCACACTACACTGGACAAACCCGGTGTCAACAACTCTACTATTGCTGTGAAGGTCTAAGAACCGCCAGAAAATATTAAGTAATTTTTGTAGTGTGGGCTGCCACAAGAGAAAATAATGAATGTTTACCATTCATGTGCAAGTCTGACAGTAGGAGGGTGAGGTGTGAAAACAGCACAATAGTCAGTTGTCAGTTTCTTGGTAAGAGTCGGAGCCCAGTAACTCAAGCCGATTAAAATGATCAATAAAACACCGGAGGAACGAATCATAGAATGTTCAATGTTAGGGATTATGACCATTAATGTAAAAAATAGGATGAAATAAATATCGTGTTCTTTCTCTTCTCAGGGTTAACAGTGCCGGTGGTAGGGCAGGCGAGCCAGTGGTTGCTGACCCAGGTGAGACAGGTTGGCAAGTCACCAACATTCACCTACGCCAGAACCTCTCTCATGTCTGCAGGTCACCTCCTTCACAAGGCAAGTATTTAGGGACTCTTGTATCAAACATATATCGTTGTTATCTGCATGTTTCTGTTCACCTCGATACATCAAGAATATTTTATGTATACATTTTTAACTTTGAAGGTGCTGTCCTTATGGTATGGTGAAGGTGATGAAGGCCTGCACCGCCAGAATACACCAGCTGAAGTCTGGAACCTCTGGGTGAGTATTTTGGACCGGAATTTTTAATAGCTTTATATATACATATATATATATATATATATATATATATATGTCGTACCTAGTAGCCAGAACTCACTTCTCAGCCTACTATGCAAGGCCCGATTTGCCTAATAAGCTAAGTTTTCATGAATTAATTGTTTTTCGACTATCTAACCTACCTAACCTAACCTAACCTAACTTTTTCGGCTACCTAACCCAACCAAACCTATAAAGATAGGTTAGGTTAGGTTAGGTAGGGTTGGTTAGGTTCGGTCATATATCTACGTTAATTTTAACTCCAATAAAAAAAAATTTACCTCATACATAATGAAATGGGTAACTTTATCATTTCATAAGAAAAAAATTAGAGAAAATATATTAATTCATGAAAACTTGGCTTATTAGGCAAATCGGGCCTTGAATAGTAGGCCGAGAAATGCGTTCTGGCTACTAGGTACGACATATATATATATATATATATATATATATATATATATATATATATATATATATATATATATATATATATATATATATATATATATATATATATATATATATATATTGAAGCAGTCTTTCCTGTAGACATATATTATTATATCTGACCGAAAAAGTAAGATTAATAATTCTAACACGAATTTTCTCAATATTTCTTATGTTTCTTTTTACTGGCGATGGTAATTGAAAAATCAATTCTCCAAAATTCATTTTTATTTCTAGTCTGACGCGACACTTGAATGCGTTTCGTAATAACTTATTACATTTTCAAAGACTTTAGTTTACACACACACAACTATAACCTGCAAACACTAAACAGAGTTTAAACAGCTTTCATTTTATACCTGCATTTGGGTGAGGTGATATGTTACAACAGTTTTGGATGAGGTGAAAACAAACTTTCAACACAAGATAGAACACGAAACAATGGGTATAATTTTGGGTAAATTAAAGGGAAGAATGGAAGTAACTGCAAAGGGCCTATTGGCCCATATTTCTTGATGCTTCTATATTGGTGCGGAGTCTTGAAGTGGGTAGAATATAGTTGTGCATTAATTGGTTGTTGATTGCTGGTGTTGACTTCTTAATGTGTAGTGCCTCGCAGATATCAAGCCGCCTGCTATCGCTGTATCTATCGATGATGTTTGTGTTTTTTGTTAAGACTTCTCTGGTGATGGTCTGGTTGAGGGAAGAGATTATATGTTCCTTAATGGAGCCCTGTTGCTTATGCATCGTTAATCGCCTGGAAAGAGATGTTGTTGTCTTGCCTATATACTGAATTCTTTGAGGCTTACAGTCCCCAAGTGGGCATTTGAAGGCATAGACGACATTGGTCTCTTTTAAAGCGTTCTGCTTTGTGTCTGGAGAGTTTCTCATGAGTAGGTTGGCCGTTTTCTTGGTTTTCTAGTAAATCGTCAATTGTATCTTCTGATTTTTGTCTGTAGGGATAACGTTTCTATTAACAATATCTTTCAGGACCCTTTCCTCTGTTTTATGAGCTGTGGAAAAGAAGTTCCTGTAAAATAGTCTAATAGGGGGGTACAGGTGTTGTGTTAGTTGTCTCTTCAGAGGTTGCATGGCGTTTCACCTTCCTTCTTATGATGTCTTCAACGAAACCATTGGAGAAGCCGTTGTTGACTAGGACCTGTCTTACTCTACAGAGTTCTTCATCGACTTGCTTCCATTCTGAGCTGTGGCCGAGAGCACGGTCGACATAAGCGTTAACAACACTCCTCTTGTACCTGTCTGGGCAGTCACTGTTGGCATTGAGGCACATTCCTATGTTTGTTTCCTTAGTGTAGACTGCAGTGTGGAAACCTCCGCTCCTTTCCATGACTGTTACATCCAGAAAGGGAAGCTTCCCATCTTTCTCCATCTCGTAAATGAAACGCAACACAGAATTCCGCTCAAATGCCTCCTTCAGCTCCTGCAGACGTCTGAAGTCAGGTACCTGTGTAAAAATGTCGTGAACATACCATATACTGCAGGTATATGGTATTAGTGATCTATGGCTTGCGCGTTCGTGCAGCTTTCTCACACATGTTAGACTCAGTGCGGCAGTGCATGCGCCAGAATTTGATGAAAAACTGTACCCAAATGGAACCATGAGTGTCGTCGGGGGTTGGTAAGTCAGGGAGCTTAGTTAATAAGCGCCAAGACTGATCCTGGACGGCATGGGTTCGAATCCTGGCCGGGTCAAAGAGTTCTTAGTGATATATGGCTTGCGCGTTCATGCAGCGTTCTCACACACACACACACACACACACACACACACACACACATACACACACACACACCGATGCTCGAAAGGCGGGATCCAAGAGTCAATGCTCGATCCTGCAGACACAACTAGGTGAATACAACTAGGTGAGTACACACACACACACACACACACACACACACACACACACACACACACACACACACACACACACACACACACACACACACACACACACACACACACACACACACACATATATATATATATATAATGTGCATGTATGTGTGTGTGTGTGTGTGTGTGTGTGTGTGTGTGTGTGTGTGTGTGTGTGTGTGTGTGTGTGTGTGTGTGTGTGTGTGTGTGTGTGTGTGTGTGTGTGCACAAAACTAAACAGGTGATGAAAAATGTAACAGTTACAGACCCCGGAGGAAGAATTGAAACATGAATTTCCTTATGTACTTTCGTATTTAATAATACATCTTCAGAAGGGTAAGTTACAAGTACAAAGATTTGGACGTATATAGGCAGGAGAGAGGTGAAGTGAAGCGAGGTACAATGATAAAAATTTATGATTGGGATTGGGTGGTTATGAATAGGCCCATACATGGATAGTAATAGCGTAAGACAGAGAATATAAACAATGAATTAGTGAGACAAATGTGTATCAATGATCATACTCAATGATCCTACAGTATGATCTTCGCCTTTTAACTGATCTATCAGAAACTGATCAAAGTTATATAAACCACTGCTAATGTTCAAATTACATGATTTTGTAGTCCGTGTTAGAGCAGATACAATTATGTTCCTATTGAAAGTGATTTTTAAAATTCGTTATTGAAGAAGCCATCAACCAATCAATTTAGTGAAAATTTTCTGACAAATTATAATTCTCATTTGTCAGATGAAAATTTTTTCATTTTCCAGAAAATTCTCACCAAATTGTTGGGAAATTGCTTCTTTGCAGTGGGGATGGTCTCGGGAATGGGATGGACATAGGCTGGTCGAGGTTGCCAGAATTCAAGCAGGAATAGCATGCAAGCGACAGTCCGAGACCCCAACGACGATTTTTGGCACTGTCTGTCGGCTACACTGTCTGTCGGGGACACTGTCGGCTACACTGTCTGTCGGCTACACTGTCCGCTACACTGTCTGTCCGCTACACTGTCTGTCGGTTACACTGTCTGCCGGCTATACAGTCTGCCAGCTACACTGTCTGCCTGCTGCACTGTCTGCCGGCTACACTGTCTGTCAGCTACACTGTCTATCAGCTACACTGTCTACCGGCTACACTATCTGTCGGCTACACTGTCTGCCGGCTACACTGTCGGCGGGCTACACTGTGTTGGCTACACTGTCTGCCAGCTACATTGTCTGACGGCTACACTATTTGTAAGCTACACTGCCTGCCGACTACACTGCCTTCCGGCTACACTGTCTGTCACCTGCACTGCCTGCCGACTACACTGTCTGCCGGCTACACTGTCTGACGGGTATACTGTCTGTCGGCTACACTGTCTGCCGGCTTCACTATCTATTGGCTACACAGTCTGACGGGTATACTGTCTGTCGGCTGCACTGCCTGCCGGCTACACTCTCTGTCGGCTACACTGTCTGACAACCTGTCTGTCGGCTACACTGTCTACCAGCTACACTGTCTGATGCCTATACTGTCTGCCGCCTACATTGTTTGCCGGCTACACTGTCGGCTACACTGTCTATCAGCAAAACTCTCTGCCGGCTACACTGTCTGTCAGCTACACTGTCGGTCTGATACACTGTCTGTCGGCAATATTGTCTACCAGTTACACTGTCTGCCGGCTACACTGTCTGTTGGCTGCACTGTTTGTTGACTACACTGTCGGCTACACAGTCTGTCGGTTACACTGACTGTCGGCTTCAATGGCTTTCGGTTACACCTTCTGGCGGCTACACTGTCGACTGCTCTGTCTGTTGAATACACTGTCTGCCAGTTACGTTGTCTGTAGGCAATACTGTCTGTCGTCTACACGGTCGGTCGGCTACACTGTCTGTTGGCTACACTGTCTGCCAGCTATACTGTCTGTCGGCTACACTGTTGGTTACACTACTTGTCGGCTACTATGTCGGCTACACTGTTGGTTACACTACTTGTCGGCTACTATGTTGGCTACACTGCCTGTCGGGTACACCGTCTGGCAGCTACACTGTCTGCCTGCTACACTGTCTGTCGGCTACACTGTCTGCCGGCTACACTGTCTGTAGGTTACACTGTCTGTCTGATACACTATCTGTCGGCTACACTGTCTGCCAGCAACACTGTCGGCTACACTGTCTGTCTGCTACATTGTCTGTCGGCTACACTGTCGGCTACATTATCTGCAAGCTACACTGTTGGCAAACACTGTCTGTCAGCTACACTGTCTATCGGCTACACTGTCTGTCGGTTACACTGCCTGTCGGCTACACTGTCTGTCGGTTACACTGTTTGTCGGCTACACTGTCTGTCGGATACACTGTCTGTCGACTACACAGTCTGTCGGCTACACTGTTGGCAACACTGACTGTCGGCTACACTGTCTGCCGGTTACACTGCCTGCCGGATACTCTTCTTGACAGCTACACTGCCTGCCGACTACACTACAGGCCAGCTACACTGCCTGCCGGCTAATTGCCTGCCGACTACAATGCCTGCCGGCAACACTGTCAGCCGGTAACACAGTATGCCGGCTACACTGCCTGCCGGCTACACTGTAAGTCGGTTAATCTTCCTGCCAAGAACACTGCCGGCCGGCTACAC